TGAATAGAGTGTTATGCTAATCTAATTCGATTTAATACCAATTAAAACTAATTAATAAATATCCTAGCAAATATGATATACTACAAGATATATACAAGGATAAGCAATATAAACAAGGGTGAAATAAACAAAAACAAACAAGAGTTATATGCGCAAATAAACAAACACAAACACAAGCAAATGATCTACGTCTCTGCTCCCTACTCCCGGGGAGAAATCCACTATCACACTGGGTTTTCAACGCTCACCCAAAAACGTTTACACCTCACATTCGGTTTTCTAGCTCATCGAAAACTTTACAATCAACAATCTTGTAATCACACTCTATACCCTCTAAGTGTTGGTCTTTAGCCCGTGTCTCCCTCAAGTGTTTGGATTTACATCCTCTTCCTAGGCTTTACTACCGACGCCACTCCTCTTGGGACGACCTCGTCTCTCACCATACACTTCTCTCGGTGTACAAGTGTATTACAAAGTGTATACTCACAATTAAGCTCTCTAACAAATGATTGTTCTCTAAACAATATGAGAACTCAATTAAGCTCAACTCAATGTTACAAACTCACAACCCTAAATATACTATGTATGAAAATACTAAAAGCTCAAGTGGGTATGTGTAACAATAAGAATAAAATCAAAACTAAACTCAAATAAATTCTAGCTTATGGAAATGAAAACCAAACATATAAATAGCTAGATAGGAGTTTAGAAAACTTCTCCAATGACAAGAGTAGGAGAGATGAATTGAAGCTCAAACACCAAGAATTGATCTCCACTTCCTCTTGTGAAAATTTCTTCACAAAACAAACTTGAAACAAAACTTAAACTCTTTTAGAAACCCTCTTAAATTTGTTTAAAACATTCTCTTGGTTATCGAAAATAGTTATGATAATGGGATATATATAGGGTGGAAGAAATCAGCCTAAGAAACCCCAAAAACCCATAAAAATCATTAAAATACATAAACTTTGGAAATAATCGTTACTGTACAGCGGTCAGATTTATAAGTCGACTTGGTATAAGTCGACTTTACAGTACACATGAGTCGACTTGCAGAAGAAAAACAAGCTGAAAAACAGGCCATAAGTCGACTTGCGAAATGACATAAGTAGACTTGCTATGATATATAAGTCGATTTGACAGAGGCTAAATGCACTTTCTAGAGTAGTTCATAAGTCGACTTATCCAACCTGATAAGTCGACTTATGAACATGCACATGGACTGTGCATGTCCAAAAATTAACTTTTAAAGTGCATGATAATAAACATGTTTATAAGCATAATAATAAACATGTTACAATTTTTTTTCAATTTGCACTTCTCATTTGTAAAATCTCATCATTTTGCAGAAACACTCAAATACATGTTTGTATGAACACTTGAGTTTTTTATTTTTGACTTCAACAAAAGTTTTGAAACCTTATAAAATGATTTTATAGACTTAATAAAAGATGTATATAATGATTGTTAAGTCCATAAACCAATAACACAATATTTTCATAAAAACACCTATATTTTGATAAAATTCAATAAATACGTGTGTATAATTAAGCTTGAAGTATTAACACACATAATATAAAACCTAAACTATTTACCCAAGCAACTTGATCTTCAATGAGCTTTTCTTGGTACACTTGCGGATGAAGCTTGAACTTGGATCTTGACTTGAATTGTATTGCTTCATACCGATATTCCGCCAACCTCCATTGGATATGATCGTTATGACGCAATTCCATCCAACATCCGACACATTGTTTGCCTATAATAAATATAAAAACATAAACACTAGGCAAACAATATTAGTTACAAATTGTTTGTTAAAACATCATCAAAACAAAAAGGCCAATATTTCCAAGCTATAGTATGGAGTCAAGGATGAATAACAATATCATTATGAACTATAGTTCTAGCAGTAAAAAAATAACATTTATTATTGCATTGAAAATAGAATTACACTGCACTTTTCAACATTATAAGCTCATATTTTATAATAAACAATCTCAAAAGCAAACATTAAAAAAAAGTACGATAAACATGATATATATGAGATCCCAACCTACATTATTTGATAGACTTAAAATAAATAAAAAAACAAAACTAAAGATTGATGGTAACTATAGTATAATTTTATGTGATAAAAACAATCACATAAGCATACAGAAATACTAAAAATTTTGCATGAAAACTCCTAAAATTCCTAATTTTACTCAAAAATTAAGTTATAGTATAAAATGTTTAAAAACTATTATCACTTATTCTTTTTATTTCATATTTTAATTGAGCCGAGATCATACTTTCTCCACCTTTATTTTTTTATTGGGCAATTCTCAAGTGGCGTCTTCATCATCTACATCAATTGTGATATCATGTTGGAGTTGAATTTTTTAAAATTAATCTCTTCAAATAATGAAGTTCAACACCAAAATCAACCTATTTGTTTTCTGCTCCCCCCTCAAAAACTATAACCCTAATCTATGAAATGAGTTTGTACATAATGAAGAACAAAAGACAATGTCAAGAGACAAAAAAAGAAGGAATTGAATAAGAATCGCTAGGTTTGTACATGATAAAGAGCAAAAGACAAGATAAGAGTCCAAAAATATATTAGGATATACTTGGATAATTAAATTATATTATTACTCATAATTGATATGCATAAGAGATAAAATATGTTGATAATCTTAAACTATAAAATAGACTGTATGTGCCCTTTAACATAATTTTTTTTAATGCATGCAACCCCCAAGGTTAATTTTGAAAATCTCTTGGTTTTGTGAAAAAGTTTGGGTGTAAAAAACAAATGTTAAATTATCTAATCCGATTAAAGTAGGATCATATAAGCTAACCCTATACATAAAATTTATTTTAACAAAAACCCATATATAAGTATTATAATTAGCATTGAGATTAAAAATACGTGTGAGATTCTCTTTGACTTTTATACAAACAATATCTATTTAAATAATAATAGTATAATTAAACTTTGTGATCTGAAAAGAAATCAAACATACAATGTAATTAATTTCTTTAAAATAATCTAATCTAAGCTAATAAGAAGAAAATAGATGAAAGTACCGTGAAAGTTGTAATTTTATAATTCATAATTCTTAAACAATCTAATCTATTCTAATAAGAAGAAAATAACAAAGGCGCATACTTGTTGAAGGAGATAAAAGTATTATGAAAATTATTATAATTTCTTGATCTAAAAAAGATCAGATATACAATATAATTAATTACTTTAAAATAATCTAATCTAATCTAATAACAAAGGCACATGCCTGTAGAATGAGATAAAAGTGCTATAGAAATTATTGTAATTTTTTGGCGCATATATATTGGTATATGATGTTGCATGTGACATGATAACAATTATAAATAGAGTTCTAAATAATAATAGTATAATTAAATTTTAAAACTAACTATGCAGTATTTTGAACTACTTTAATTTTAGTCGGTGAGAGATCACCACTTTGTGTGTAATTATTAATCATATAGCATGTGAATAATTATTTGCAGATTGACATTATTAGTCATGTAGCACGTGAATAATTATTTACAGTTTGATCATTGATCACATATAAGAGCGAGGGGGTAAATTTGGCATTTAATAAATCGTCTAATTAACCTAAGAGTACCATGAACTACTTGAATTTTAGTCGGTGAGAGATCGTCACGTTGTGTGTAATTATTAATCATATAGCATGTGAATAATTATTTTCAGTTTGACATTATTAATCATGTAGCACGCGAATAATTATTTGCAGTTTGATCATTGATCACATATAAAAGCGAGGGGGTAAATTTAGCATTTAATAAATCGTCTAATTTACCTAAGCTGCTCTTTCATTCAGGTTTACATTTCAATTTAAATTATATCCTTATTTTCATACTATGTATATCCAAATAAGAATTCATCAATTTATCAACTTACTCTTACTTAATGGATTAGTATTTGAATTCCAAGGATATTTTTGTCTACTAAAAGATTTTTTTAAACTTGTGCTTTTAAAGGGAGTATGATGTTTCTCAATAAGAGATCTTAAAATTGAATTTCAAATCACCAGGAGAATAAAGCGAAACAGGAGAAAATGAGAGTGATAGGAGATTAAAATTCTGCTTAGCTTTAAATGAAGTATAACTTTAACATAATTGATAATAAGAAATGAGGAAGATAATGTTTGTCAAAAAAGTAACAAAATAATATATAATATGTTTTATTTAAATGTGAGTAATTTATAATCCTAACTAAACTTTAAAATCTCTACAATAAGATATAGCATATTTTATTTAAATGTGAGTAATTTACAATGATTACCTTAATTACATACCCTATTATGTATTTTATGTTTTGCATTGCATATACTTTAGGGGGTTTTCCTAGAAACGACCTTTAAACTAGAGTAATTCTACGGGAACCACCTTTGAATTTCAACTTATACACAAACCACCTTTAAAGTGGCTTTATGTTATAATCATCTCATAAATACCCTTAGAACTCATATTAAAGAGCACATGCCACATTTTGTTAATGTTTAGGTCTAGCTAGAATACAAGTCATGTGCCGTGAACGTGAATTTTTTAAAAGTTGTTTTTGGTTTTTTATTAAAAATTTGAATGAGAGGTGGTTGATTGCAAGACAAACCCACTTTAAAGGTGGTTTATATATAAATTGAAATTCAAAGGTGGGTCATGTAGAATTACCCTATTTTTAATGTGGTTTCTATGGAAAAACCAATAATTTTATTATAATTGTTTCTATCCTCAATTTTTTTTCCACTTCATTCCCCCACCTTTCACAAGGTTGATTCCTTGTTTCATCCTTGATTTTTTGTAAGCGTAGAAAGTTGTTTTTGTGGCTTCATATATGCATTTCAATTAGTTTATTTGTGTTTTGATATCATATTTAACATCATGATTGTTGTTGTTGTTGTTGCAGTTATTGGATTGACCCTGATAAGATTAACAGTATAGACCATATCAGGGCAATGGAAGAATCTCTTCGTGAATCTTTAGATCGAATCCGCATGCAGAAGGTACATATCCTTTTGCATTCCCTTTTGTTTTTTTGTTTCTGTCTGTCAAGGGGTATTTTAGTGGGTATATAACTGGAGGTCTGTTTATATGATTTTCCATGCATGAATTTATAGAGAATAGTATCACTTGCAGTTCTGTTCGTTAATTTAGGATAACGAGGATTTAATTCTTTGTCGTTTGGGTTTGAAGTTAGTACTGCAGCTTCCTGGTGTATATGATGAGGACACTGAATAATCTTGATTTTAGAAAACTCTTCTGAGCGATCTTACCGACTATGCTGATGACTTCCTTGCCATTATGTAAATACTAAAGGGGTTAAACAAAAATATTGAGTTTGTAGTAATAAAATATAATTCCAGGCTATTAAGGTATTCCCAAATTATAATGGTCGATTCTTTACTTGCCGAGCTCATTAGCACGAGCTTGTCACCATGAGGAGCATGAAAGAGGTGAGAGCGCTGTGCCTCATAGCTTGTTCCGGGTACAAAGTGCTCTATGCTGGCCTGCCCATTCCAAGTTGGGCAGTCATTTGTATGGGCTGGTTCCACGCATCTCTTAATGTGGAGGGAACCGTGTGAGGCTGGTTTCACAGAACAACGAAAATCTCCTGCTGTCAACAGTGGAAGGATAACGGATTGCTGCGCTCTGCATTCGCTTTGGACTTAGCTGCAGTGCTTCCAGTGAACCACCTCTATTTTGGAATTTTTGTTACAAAAAAATTATATTTTTAATTTCTTTGAAGTGTTTGTTATTGAGGTATTAAAAGCAGTTTATTTTTCAGATTGTTGCGTTTTGAAAAGGACATATTGGATAATAATATCAGCATAACAACTTAAGAGTCTCAATAGATGTCAGTTTAGTAATTAAATTATGAAAATGAAAGTGCATTATTGTGATGAAAGCCACCAGCAGCATCGCTCGGATGGAAAGTATTATTCTTATATTAAAGGGCTAAATACCCATATTGGCATTTTAATTCCATCCCATTTACCAAGAAGGTATTTTAATTAGGCAAACCTGCTTTAAGGTATTTTAATTGATTCAACTTACCAACAAGGCCATTTTTCTCGTCGGCGACCAGTTTTCCGGCGAGAGCTCGTCATGTGCATGGCACATGATGACTTAAACTGTTTTTTAGCCGCTAATGTGGCACAGATTTTCTGACGTGGATAAAACAGTTAGGAGAATAAAAGAGGGGATTCAAGCTGAGATTGGGTGAGATTGGAAACTAGGGTTTATCAAATTGGGGCATTCAAGCTGAGATTGAGCGTGGAAGAGAAGATATTATGTCGTCGTCATCAACCCGTACCAAGTTGTCTTCAACCCGTACCAAGTCGTCGTCCTCCGAAAATCACCTTCTGCATCAACTGAGGAACACCATCACATGGAATCCCTGCAATCTATCTCTTTCAACTGCCTCCTCCACGATTTCTCCCTCTCTATTTCTCCCTCTCTCTCGCGTTCAAATTCTGAAAATAAAAGAGGCGAATCTGTCCTATTTTGGGTGAATTAGGATTTTTAGAGGGTTAATTCTCGTCTTTAAACACTACCACGTCAGAAAATCCGTGCCATATCAGCAGCTAAAAAACAATTTAAGGCATCATGTGCCACGCACGTGACGAGCTCTCGCCGGAAAACTGGTCGCCAACGAGAAAAATGACATTGTTGGTAAGTTGAATCAATTAAAATGTCTTAAAGCAGGTTTGCCTAATTAAAATACCTTATTGGTAAATGGGGTGGAATTAAAATACCAATATGAGTATTTAGCCGATATTAAAGTTCTCTGAAGCATTAGCTTACATGGTCATGGCATACGTTTTCCCTTCTTATTCCTGCTTGCATTTTTGTACATAACTTATGGTTGTGTGCTTTGCTGACAGGAAAACTTGGAAAAGCAACACCTCATGACACTTGAACGTGCTGCGCAGGTAAAGCAGTTATATAGAATGAACATCTGTCTTATATGATTGTCCAGATTATTAACTCGTTACTCATTAGTTTCTGGATGAATTTCCCTGTCTTGATTATGTAGTTCCAGAATGGGCTGAATTTGCCTCTGGGGATGACTGGAGAGCAACAACCCTCACATATGTCATGGCTTCAGGAAAATGATGGTCGACACCTATTGCTCCAGGAAAATGCTAGTTTGCTACAACAAAGGTCAGTATATATCTTAGCATGATCTCATCTTTCTTACCTAAGTTTGTTTCCAAATCAAAAACTTAAAATAGTTTCATGTTTGCTGATACAAAGGTATGTACTGCATTTTATTATATCCAACAGCCCTAGTATATAAATTAGAGCAGCCCACAGGGAGGAATTCCTGTGTTTATGATGGTTTGTCCTTTTTGCCCTTAGGCAAGGGCACTTTGGTGCAAAATATAGGGACAAAATTGGGTTTTTGTTACTTCTGCTTTTGTCTGAATTAAAGGCAAGAAAGCATCCGTTATAATGTGAACCAGTTTTTCTTTTCTTTACTATTATTTTCAGATTCTAGGTGGCAACTTAACTTGGGGGTTTCCAATTTTGAGGTTCATAGTATGAAGTGGATATTTCTCTATATTTTCACATTTATATGCATGTATATCTCAATCTTAAGCAAGCGTTTTCATTCAACACATTTATTAATTGAGTTGAAACATGGATATATGTTTCAAAGAACCTTGGATGCACAATCCATGAGCCAAAAAATAAATTTAAAAAACCAAGGACACTGTTACCTTCTGTAACTTTGTTCTTACCTTTAAGGTCTCATACTATATAAGCTAATTTTATTTGGTAAAACACAGCTGACTCAAGTTACAGTACCACGACTTGCCCGGTTACACCATGAAACCATAATCATAGTCAAGTATTTTCTGCAGAAAGTGACATTTTCTTGTGTAAAAGGGTAAAAATTCCTTTTCTGTACTTCTTGCTAAACTGGTTGATGTTTCTGTTTTGTGGCTCAGGGATATTGAATGCTCCACAGATGCAACCCTTCAAGGATTTTCTGGATACTTTAGCACAGGAAAGCAAACCGAGGTCAATAAGCAAAGCCAGGAGGAAGCCTTGAATGAGTTGAATCAAAGCTCGTGCTTAAGGCTAGAGCTTGGAGGGAACTTTCCATACCCGTCTTATGATTTAAATTTGCTCAGTGAGAAGAAGTTCAAGCCTGGTGCTGAAGTTAATCTACCAGAGATTCCAGTTGATTATCAAGTTAACAACTTTGAGCCACCAAGGCCTGTCTATGATGCCAACGCTCAGGCATGGGCTTCAACATCTGGATCTTGTGGCATTGTCATGTTTGATGACCATTCCTACCCCCAGGTGATTTCTTTTCACTGTTTCCCCATTGCTTCTTCCTTTCATTCCTTGTAAGTTTATAAATGTTGATATCAACAATACTAATCATTTCCAGTTATAGAACCGGCATTCAAGGAACACAAATATATTGTTCATAATTAGAACCGGCATTCAAGGAACACAAATATATTGTTCATAATAGCAAGAACATGAAAAGTACTAGATACCATGTATGGCATTAAAACAAATTTAACTAAGCTTCCATTCACTTGTTCATACAATGTGTACTTGTGTGCTATTACCATTATGACTTGTGCGTTCGAAATGTGGAGAGTACAATAATACATTATTCAGGACAAAGGAAGGATTATATATTGAATTAGTTTGAATGGAGGAACTTGGATTTTCTCGTCCAGCTGTGAAAGAATTTGCTCCGTATATTGCAGAAGGCACTGGAAATCTACCCTTCCAAAAGATAATTTAGGCTAGCGAATAAACTTGCTTGTGGAATGCTGACTGCAGTTGAACTAATGAATCAGGAGTTACACCAACACAAAGAGGAGAAAGAGAACCAAAAGACTTTAGAATGAAGAGGACTGCACTGTTTTTTTAAGCAGCAAGTGAATTTCGTTCATGTCTGTTCATTCCAACAGTAGCAATGAGTTCAATGGATATGCTTGATAAAGTTAACAACTACAACCAATATACCCTTTTATAATTCACTTATAATTGATCAACAAAAGTAACACTCTCATGCTAATGTTCCTTGAAAAGATGTATGTACGGAAAGCAATGCCCCTAATAATAAATAGTCCAAAGTTTTACTTCATCCGCATGAGCACGCACTGACGCAGCCATCGCAAAGTAGACCTTCTTTCTTCATAGAATGCTCAAAATCTTACACTATGCACACCCTTGAGAGAAAAAAATGTATAGTAAATTCATAGAATGCTCAAAATCTTACACTATGCACACCCTTAAGAGAAAAAAATGTATAGTAATTTTGTTTTACTCGATATATTCATCAAGTCAGCTGTTACTATTTTGCTTCCTCACTGTTCAGATAGCTTATATTCCATTGGCCCTGTTTGTCAAAGGTTTAAAGAAGAGGGGATCAAAGAGAGGATTGAGTTTGTTTGTCAAAGGTTTAAAGAAGAGGGATCAAGGAGAGGATTGAGTTAGTGAGATTTATTTTAATCATTGTGCTCTTCCATATTGTTTTGGGATAAGAGAGGATTGTTACTATTTTCTTTGTAAGCAAAGGGATTATTTATTAACCCGTCTAAGAAGGTGGATTAGTAAACCGCTCAAAAGACTGGGTTAACTCATTTTAACCCTCCAAAGAGAGGGTTAACTCATTTTACCTCCCCCCCTCCCATGCGCGCGCACATGAAAACACCTCATTCACCTACCTGTTGCCAAACAGCGTATATAATAAAGGACGGGATAAAATTAGCAGCAATTCTATATGCATTATTGCCTGTTCTAATGGGTAATGAGATATAACCACTGTAGCCCATTTGGTTGTTTATTTTAATTTAGTAGGAAGCCAAAGAGAATGCTGTAGATTTTTCTGTCAGTTAAATCTTCTGTGAGGAAGTTTATTGAATAACCCCAGGAAATTATATTGTGATCCCAGTTTCTTTTGAGTCCTGACATTAATTTGTTTTCCAATTAAAGGACAAATTTTCAATTTCAACCTATTTGCAAACTTAATTGCAAAAATCGACCCATTTTATACTTATTTTTCAAATTCGACCCAGTTTCAGCCAGGTGACTGAAACTGGGTCGAATTTGAAAAATAAGTACAAAAGAGGTCGATTTGTGCAATAAATGTTCTAAATAGGTCGAAATTGAAAATTTGTCCCCAATTAAAACTGAGACAGAAAAGTGGAAACCGGGTCTGCAATGTCGTTGCCTATCCTAATTGGCTTTTCTATTGTTATAATTTGTAAGAGTGAAGTTTTAGTGATGTTAATATTTCTTCCCCCTTTTTTGCAGCAACCGAACCAGACATGACAATTCGAACCGATAGTCTGCTGCTAGTTTTGTTTGCATGACAACTGGATCTTCTTCATCCTTTTATATCCTTCCTGAGTGCACTATAGACTGACAAGATGAGGCGAAACTTTTCAGCTGATGTCAAACTTGTATATTTTTCTTTCATACCAGTATCATATACAGTACCAACTGAGATACAAGATTTCAGGGTGTTATACTGTTGTACAGAAACCTGACTAGGGTTAGGGTGATTTTAGCACCCATTGGTTCTTGGATCATTCTATTTACCATACAGATCATAAATGTCTTCTTTCTTTTTTACCTCATCTTTGTTTTTTTTAAAGATTTTCTTTCAAGGCAAAATCCTGAAAAACTTGCCGTTGTATTAGTATATACCGCATAAAAGGGTTATTAAGCACATTAATGTTTGCTTGTAAAATATATTGGAGGCTCGCTATAGTAACCGGAAAGTAAATTTTCCGGTATAAATGGCGACAGATTGTAAATTGAAATCCATTTGAATTATAAACCTGACAAATTTTCATCCTTTTTATGCTATGCGTTTGGAAGTGGGAAGTTGTTGCTGCAATCCATTGCAAGATTCTTCGTTTTAATTTGGCCTGGAAGTGATGTTAATGGAAACTCATGGTGATGTTGTTGCTGTTTCATTCACGAGGACCCCTCGCCCTATTGTATCGTATGGATGAATTATTTGGTTGTGGGGGAGGGGGCAATGCTTTGAGTTTCATAAAACCTGTTATGGTGTTTATTCGCCCAATATACAGTATTCACAAAATAAAGCAATAAGAGCCCTACTCGACTCTCAAGAGTTCTAGGCATACGACTTCTCAGTCGAATAACAAGCCCTTTGTATCTTATTAGGAATAAACCCAATGCACAGTCACAGAGACCTCGGTTCCATCGACTCATCAAGCCGACACTCTAGTGTCGACATGAAAGGCGATAGAAGTCGACACGAGAGATCCTGACCTCCCAGGCGAATCGACATCTTTATATTGACTCGAAAGGCGGTTATGAACTAAGACATGAAGACATTCCAACCAGTCGAACAGACCGACACTCCTAGGTCGATGCGAAAGGCGGTGTCGGTCGACCTTATCATCGAAGACGATCCAACTTAGGGCACTTGATCACTCGCTGGGCTTTTCTCAGAAACGACTTAAGAGACATTCCCTGCTGTCGACTAAATTGAGGGCTCGACCCCGGCCTCAAGCCTCTCCCCCAAAGCAAATGTTGATGCCTCAGTCCACTTTGGACAAGCCTTATCCAGATTTTGGCCTGACAGATCTCCATGACTTGTCAATTCAATCACTTCCTAGGAAATGCGGAGACACTATCTCCCATAATGAAGCAACTCACTCTCCAGTCGCCAGCCGATATCTGTAAAGCGAGGTACGACTCAGTATGCCCACGTGACTTCTGCCACACTCACAAGTCACTTCCCGGACATCACGGAGACATCATCTCCCATGCTGAAATAACTTCCCCTCCAGTCGCCAGCCGACACCTGTAGAGCGAGGGATGATTCACCTTCCAGCTCACACTTTGTGACCGCTATTCTGTATGGTCAAAATAACCAGTCTACTAGTGATATCCACTCTACATATAGAGGTTGTTCACCATCAGAAAAGGGGAGAGACCAAGAAACCTGACCTAAGCTAAGGTAACTTGATCTAACCTGATCTAACATAACAAAAAACTCTCGGAGCAATTCAAATCTTCCTCCTGATCCAAACCTTAGAGATGATCATCTCTAATGCACATAGCATAAGAACACACAGTTCTAAACTCCTCTCAAGCTTAAGTTTATCAACTAACTTGACCATCGGAGGAATCACGGGGGAATCGGTTCCGCCCTCTCACGGGTTCTTCTTGTGTGTGCAGTGTGGACATCAAATCCTCGTTCAAAAACTAGGCATAAAGTCGAAGAAGGGAGCAGGTCCTCCATCATTCTTCATCACCCCGCAACCATCATCTTCTGAATATTGTTATGGTAAGTCACCATACTAAGTTAAAGATGTTGGGAGAATGTTTGCGTAGATCCAAGAGAGCTATGGTTCAAACCAACTTAGATTTAGAAGCCTAGACAAAGTCAAGTCTCTCGGTCAGGAGAGTAGACGAGCTATCTTTCGGTCAAGAGTCGTCTCGACCGACTCGAAGCACGGGATCAGTCGCCTCCTTATAATTAAGACGACTCCTCGAGCAGACGACTCGACCATACACTCGGCCCAAAACTCACTCGACTATCAGATCGATGAATTATAATAAGGGCTCGCAGATTAAACCCACCTCAACTAAAGAGATAAGATCCGACCGAGCTCACTTCAGATGTCAATCGACACAACAGTACTGATAAGTCCTATCAAGATCTCCATTCTGACAACTCTCGTGCCCAAGCCGCTTACAAGTCACTTCCCAGAGATTGCCATGATGCTCTCCTGTGCACGAGTGACCCCTCCCCCAATTACCAGCCATCATCTGGAGAAATAAGGACGGCTAAGTGGCCGACCTATCCTATGCCCTGTCTCTTCTGACAAATCCAGGGTATTGAGAAGACGATTCTCTCCTGTATTCGAATGACTTCCTTTCCAATCGCCGCCGACATCTGGAAGGAGAAAGATGACTCAGTAGCCCATCTGCTCACCCTGCAACTGTCCTCATGTGCAAAAGAAAAGCCAAAAATCTCAAGGCAACAGACTATAAAAGGAGGTAAGGAGGGTAAGGGCAGGAGGTTGATCTCTGCTTCTTCTTACGCCTGAGCTTTACTCCCCTTTTGATTCTTTTTCATAAAGAGAAAATTTAATAACTCTTGGAGAGGAAGTCCCTCTAAGGACCTCAATGGCCCAGGGATCTCTCAAAAAACCCTCCTCAAGTTCACCAAATGACTTGACCGTCGAAGGTACCACGGGGGAAACTAGCCCCATATTCCTACGATTCTTGTATGTACAGGCTATCAATCCACCCCGCGCGCTTAGAACTGGGCATAAAGTCAGAGGAGGAGTCGGTCCCAACATTCATCCTCTCCTTCTTCCCCACCGTCGCCAGGATCGAAACTGCATCCGACTACGGGAAACCCCTATCAACTGTTTGTTCACGAGCATCAATAGTTTGGCGCCCACCGTGGGGCCTACTTTCTTCTCTGAGAAGAAATGCCCAATTCTAAGTTGGGGCCTGATGTTGTTCATTGTTGAAGAGCACTGGAATTGCACCATTCAAGCTAAACAAAGCCTGGAATCGCATCATTCAAGCTAAGGAGGATTAGCCTATGGCTATGATGAGCCAATGTAGGTGTAGCCCTTGAGGGCTCCAGCAACTTTCTGGGGGGTATTTGCTAAGTAGAACCTCGAAAGCCCTCCTAAGAAAAGACACATCATTATGGTTCTTGTCTGGCTTGAAAATGAAGCACAGACTTCTAATCGTCGCCACAGACAAAAAACCCCACCGCATGGGCAACCAAGAGGCCTGGGGTTGGATCGCAAACAGAACCCTCAGGGGTTATGATAAGATCCAATATTGCTCAAGCTCTTATCGGCAATGGCTCCCCCGAACAAGGAGTAGCGATCAAATCTGTGGCATACTCCTCGGACCATCACCACCTCCAAAGGAGAGTCCTTCCTCACCAAGGATGAGATTGCGGGGAAAACTCAAGGGCTCATCATCTGGTCTTCTCAGGAAGATTAACAGCCCCGGCACCCCAACAAATGCTCAAAACCACCAGAGTCGAAGTAAAACCTAGTGGTCAAAGCATGTGACTTATACTCTCCTTGTAAGAAGGCTCCTCTATTTATAGGATGGTCCAGTTGTCGCTATCCCTGAAAACCCCTAGGGGAAGTCATGATCCCATCAAATTCCAGGGAATGAAGCGTCGGCGCATAGGGTTTCTCGCCAACAAGAAGCCCCCATCAGAAAAGTTGCCTGGTTCTCCTCCATTGAGCAACATCTTCCAAAAGCTCAAACAACAGAATATCAGGCCTAACAGAGCAACCGACGATGGACAAACAAGATTTGTTGAAAATCACCATGTCCACCATCGACCGACAAGGACCTCAGCAAAAACTCAAAATTCAGAAAGGTCCTTGGCTGATGAGATGGCAAATATGCCAACAATTCAACAACATCTAAAGAACCAAACAACTCACCATCAAGAGAAAGAGCAACCCCCGATTCTGGCCATTCCTTAGTTTTGCAACAAAGACGAACAATGAAGTAACAGCTCGCTCTCATCAAAACTGGACTGACCACTACCAAAAAGAAACAGCCAAGAAAGCTCTGCCTCGGTGACATTGTCCCCAGCCAAAAGCTGTCTTCAAAAACACACATGGGCAAAAAACACGAATTCTGCATTGCCCGATGGAATAAATATGAATGAGTTGTACTCTCTCATGTATAAATTTCAAAACAATCAATGAAAAAGTCAAATGAAAAGAGAGACATCAAAAGACCTGGTCGTCTGGTCAATTGACTCCTCGGTCGGTATCAAAAGCCCTTGGCACCTAATCTGGATAAAACCAAGACAAAACGACTCCTTAGTTGGTCACAAGATCCTGGCGCCACCTCAGGATAGGCCCATGGTGCAATGACCCCTCAGTCAGGCCTTGGCACCATCTCGGGATAGGCCTAAGGCACAATGACTCTTCAGTCGGTATCAAAAGCCCTTGGTACCTAATCTGGATAAAACCAAGGCAAAACGACTCCTCAGTCGGTCACAAGACCTTGGTACTTCCTCAGGGCAAAACCAAGGTAAAACGACTTCTCAGTCGGAATAAAGCCCTTGGCTCTTCTTAAAGGTAAGTCCAAGGCACAACATATGGTTCGATCCCTTCTGCTCTCATAGTCCATAGTGGTCAAGACCTTGGTACCTTCTCAGGGTAAAATCAAGGCAAAATAACTTTTCAGTCGGAACAAAGCCCCTGGTTCTTCTTAAAGGTAAGCCCAAGGCACAACATATTGTTCGATTCCTTCTGCTCTTATCGTCCATAGTGGTCAAGACCTTGGTACCTCCTCAGGGTAAAACCAAGGCAAAACGACTTCTCAGTCGGAACAAAGCTCTTGGCTCTTCTTAAAGGTAGGCCTAAGGCCATGGTTTTAAATATCGACCGATAATCCGATATTATCGCCGAGTTATCGGATTTGGGAGCTTTCCGCTAGGATAAGTAGGATTTTTAATCGGTTATCGTTTTATGGGTTTATCGGCGAGTTATTGACGATAAAGGCACTTATCGGCTGATAATGGAGGTTGAAAATATCCGTTTTATCGGCGTGAGTTTTG